TAACAATATTAGTAATTATTAACAAAAATAAATAATAATAAGGTAAGTTAAGAATTAATAATAAATTAATAATAATTAGTAAATAATAATAAAATCTAATTGATTTATTTTCTAAATAAAATTAATGAACTCAATAGAATTGTTTATCATTAAATAAATGATTCCTAAGATTCATAACCACTAATTTAGGTTACTTTGTGTTATTGTGACAGTGGGAATAAACGTTCATTGCAATATTTTTGAATAAAAAAAATTTTGTGATTATTTTTATCAAACATAAAAGTAATTATATAATTGTGCAATATTTTATTAAACATAAAAGGTAATTATATAATTACTTTTTATGTTTGATAAAAATAATCCTAAAATTTGTTTTTTATTCAAAAATATTTCAATCGCGTTTATCCCCGCTGTCACAATAACACATAGAAACTCTAAATAAATAGTTATTAATCTTAAGAACCATTTATTTAATGGTAAACAATTTTTTTGAGTTTATTAATTTTATTTAGAAAATAAATCAATTCGATATAAAAATTGGTTTAAACGCCGCGATATCGAAGGTTAGTGATAGGTTGCATCTACAGAGGGCGAGCGTTGCGGCGATTACAGCTAAACATATGGGAGTTTCCGATCCCTGACACGGATCGCGCAGTCCATTCTCGATGTCTTTGATTCATGTCCATATAGATTTCCATACATCGATAGTACATCGATCGATACATCGATCGCAACGTGCGCGCGAACGCTTCTGATTCGCTCAAGCATCAGACCCAACCAAAATGGCGGCTGATCAATTGCGGCCACGAATTTTCCTCGATGCCCATTCCAGTGTATATATAGTTCAGTGGTCTCTAACTATAATCTATCAATTAAATGGAACCAAATCACCGGAACCTGGGCCACTTAAGGCGATGCTAAAGCCTCCTGTTTTACCCACATTTCCATTCGGTGAAAAATCTCTGTATTGGATGTACGGATTGCAAAAGTATTATTGCTTAAATTAAAGTACG